GTTGATCGGTGGTATTCATTTCGGATGTTCTCACACAAACACCTCAATACGGCCAATTAGAACTGATTATTGACTGTCTGTCCTTCAGGAACAAATTTGTGATGCATCAAACCACGAATATCGCGAAAAAAGCAAAGAGCATCGCCTTGACCTTGAGCGGCTATGGCGTCGCTGTTTTGTCACATTGGCAGTTATAATGCCCTCCAAGGATGTGACATCGGAATTCGTACGATCAAAGAGACGATACTCTTTTTGAAAAAAATTCAGCTTTATCGGGACCAGTCGAGTAAGAGTGCGTTTCACACCAAAAATTTTGACTAAAAGATTCGAACGGAATCTCAAGAGATGTCGAACTCTCTTGCTATCTCTGTAACCCTTGTCAAACGATTTTCAAGCACTATTTTCATCAGTCTTCAACGATCTCTCAACCACCTTTGAAGACTTTGTATCACTCGTACTCTTAAGATTTTGAATCACCGGAAGCCTTTTCCAACATTTGCAATGAAATTTGGTTAAAGATATAAAATTTGGAAAAAATTCATTGTTCAATATTTTTATCCATGTTAAAAATCGCAACGCACTGATTGTGCTCATATTTGGTATAGTAATCAAACAGCCTACATACTTAGGAAAATACATTTGTTTGAAATATCACTTACCCGGGGAATTTATATTACAATTTCGGGGTACTTTTTTGTCACAATATATTTTATATAACAGCTATCACAATTTGAATAGATTCGGAAGCTAACATGCTATTTTAAAAGGCACTGACTAAAAAGTCTAGCCAACTAAAAATACCTTCTCATATGATCGGTATGTAGATAGGACCTTACCACAAAGCAATATAGGAGCAATCTGCGTTTCAGTACAACAGTGTTAAAATGTCAAATAATGCAATATTATATTTAGGTGTACTTACATTTACTTCTACACTGAAAGTAGTCTTGCGCATCCGCAAAACTTGTGATATTGACCTTTTGCGAAGTTTTGCAATAACACACAATAAGTTTGCGACATTATATGAGAGCCACATTAAATTACACTTTCTTCATAATCAATTATATTGATATGTTACCGACTATCATATTATATAAATTTAGATAAAAAAAATAATAAGATTAGGTGTTGTCCGATTTTGTCTATTTTCGCAATAGCACATAAGAATATAAAAAGAATGTTACGTACTAAATTTTGTCGAAATCGGTAAGACAAGTACCGAGATATGGGATTTCCCAAAAGGTGGACAGTGCCACTTTCATCGTCAAATTTTTACCCCAGCCCCCATAAAGTCTTGCCATACTATCCTAGCTGCAAATTTTTACGTTTCTGATGCATTTACGAGGTGTGACAATTAAGTAATGAGACTAATTCAACTCTGCCATCCCCTTCAAAGTAGTTCCCTTAGACCGCTATACAGCGATTCCAGCGCTTCGTAACATTTCTGAAATGCTTTGACTGGGATGTCCGCGAGTACCCTCGTAACGGCGGCCTGGATGTCCGTAATCGACTCAAAACGGGTTCCTTTGACTACCGATTTTGTTTTAGGAAACAAAAACAGTCGCATCGTGACATGTAGGGCGAATAAGGCGGCTGTTGCAACACGGCAATTCTTTTAGAGGCCAAATACTGGGACACGCTGAGGGCGGAGTGGCACGGCGCGTTGTCGTGATAAACGATCGCGGGCGAACGAGTTGCGAGCGAGGTCTGGGCGCACGCTGTTGACTCGTTTTCGCAATCTTTCGAGTACTTGACAGTAGTAGACTTGATTCACAGTTTTCCCCGGTGGAACGAATTCTTTGTGGACGATTCCACAGCTATCAAAAAAGGCAATAATCATCGTTTTCACCTTCGACTTGCTCACGTGGAGACAACCATTGTGAGCTTTGGCGTTTGATTTCCGGCTCTAGAGCACTATCACCATACACTCTTACAATTTTAGCATACGTTTCCGAAGCTGTTTCGCCCAAACTAGCGCAAAATTTTATCGCGACGCGTTGCTCTTGATTTCGTTTTTCCATTTTCGTGACGAGCTGGCGAACGAAACAAGCTAGAGCGATGGTACATATATCAATGGCAAATGGAGGCGGGGATGCCGAAAAAAAGAGAAAGGGAATTTCAAGATCACAGATTTACCACAGCGTGGCAATGAAATCAGTCTCATTACTTCATTGTCAAACCTCGTAGTTATCGATTTATCGCGCTTTTAGTATTTTTCAACAGTACCGTTATATGGGAGATTTTTGATTTCCGATTTCGTCTATTTTCACGCTATTGGTAGTAGTTTTTGTAATATTCGTTCTGAGCGAATTTGCTGTAGCTCTAGTGTTTAGGAGATATGCACATTAAACTTATTAGGGAGCGGGGTCAAGCCCCCCTTTTTCAAAATTTTTTATCCACAAGTGCCCATAACTTCTGCGATCTCCCATTCCAAAATACAATTTTATATCTTAATTTAGCGCTCAGTTATGGCACTTTCCATCTAAGAAGTCGCCTTTATTTTGTACTAAGGAGCCTAAGAAACCAAGTTTCTTCAAGAAATCTCAATTTTTACTCAAGTTACAGCTTGCGCGAACGAACTGACGAGCGGACGGACAGACCGAACCGGTGCAAAACTGGACAGTTTGCGAAGTCGTGCGATAAAAACTCGTTCTGTAGGTGGAAAAAGTGTTCCCATTACCAAAAAAACATATAAAAGCGCCAAAAAATGAGCGTCATGCAATACAATCTGAGCCACTATGAGGCTGCAAAAGAGCTTCTTATACAAACGGTTCATGACAAAAAAATGTATACTCGGTGGGAAACATGAAAATACATAGCTACATGGATTTCTGACAACATGAACAAAGCTGCCATATGAACATGAGGGGGATTTTAAACGTTTCAAAAGAAACAACTAAGAGAAAAATAGTTTTACACTCGAGCGAAAATCTGTGGGAGTAACTTCTACAGTTGTGTTATACCGCCAAGCATATCGCAGAGAGACTGAAGAAAAATTCTAATACTAATTAGAAAATGTTTGTCTGCTACGAAGAACATAATCGCAGGCAATTTCAATGCGTGGGCGATGGATTAGGGGGGGCATCCACACAAGTGGGCATGGAAATCGTGGTGCTGAATACCAGAAACCAAAAAATATTTGGATCTCCGTTATCGATATATTCTTCGCTAGCAGCTCTCTGGTGCGGACAACAATATACACACATCCGTTATTGAACTTGGACGAACTTCTCAAACGTTTGTTAGGTGACCACTGGATCTCTGCACAACCGCTAGAGAATCGAACGGCTCTAGCGGAAGAATCTGTTGAAATCAAAGAGACACAGTAGTTACTGACGTGGAGGCAACAGAGACGGCAAGAAATTTTTCAATGCCAAAGCACCAGGCATAGATGGTATGATGGTATTTCAAATAAGGCCTTAAATACTGTCTTTAAGTATAATGTGAGACCATTTGCTGAATTGTTTACGCGGTGCTTACAAAATGCGGTACTCCCGAAAACTTGGAAAAAGCAGAGGCTGGTCTTGCTGCAAAAGCCAAATAAACCAACTGGAGAGCCTGGCTCATTTTGACCGTTCTATGTGCTGGATACGATTGGCAAGATACTGGAGCGGATAATCTGTATACGATTAGAGCTGCATTTAGAAAGAGAAGAGAGGAAGAGTCAATCCGACAACTAATATGGATTCCGCAAACAGACACCAATGATTGATGCAACTACGAAGCTTACTGATATAACTAACAAGACAGATGTTTGTATGGTACAGGGAAATACTGCGCAGTAGCCACGTTTATCGTTGCCGTTTAGTTCGGCATACTGGCCCCATATAATAAGTGCTCTAGAACGTTACGAAATCCCGGCATACTTGGTTAAGATTATATCCAGATACTTGTATGATCGGTGTTTACTGTATGAAACGGATGACGGATAAAGAAAATATGCCTTAACAAGCGGAGTTCTGCAAGGTTCTGTTCTTGGCCCATTGTTGTGAAAAGCATTGTATGACGGCATCTCTCACTCCCGAAGCAGAGACAGATTATTGAGTACGTAGATGCTACTGCCATAACTGCAGTGACAAAGGAACTGGGAAACTATGCAGCGTCAACGACCGAAGTATGGCTGACAACAAGAAGCTGTGGAGAAACTTGAAGACATCAAACTAAATATCGGCGGTCATAGTAATGAATAATAATTCACAATGGAGTTTGTTACAAGGCCGCACTAACAAGAATAATGAACAAAATTGGTGGACCAAGCCAAAATAGAAGAGCGCTATTGTCCAATGTGAGCCAATCACTTCTAGTGCTGAGTGACACCACAACTAGTGTGGAATATCGTGAGAGCATAATGCGCTATAGTTCTGAGGGAGCTGAGAAGAAAAGAGTGACAACGCAGCAAAAACATAAGAATGAATAAGGTGTAGACCAAAATTACGTGACTGACAAGCCGAATGGCTAAGCTTAGCCTCACGATATAATGCTTAATTACATTTTCTTGGGGCAAATAACAAACAATGGCAATGATTAAAAAAAGCCTTTCAAAATCAGTATAAAGTTTACTTTTTGCAACATATTTTCTTATCAGTGGTCTGAATACCTCAGCAGACTTAACATTATTAGCACACACTTGCGAGCATAAATCAATATTGGGTATTCTTCACACCCAACGACCTTTCACTCTCCGACGCAAACATACACCACAAAGTAAATAGGGCTGTGTGTTTTTCTGTTTTTATTACCTTTGTTAAATTTCCGCTTTCATAATTTTTTCTCAACAATTTAAATAATTTTACCAGGGGCATCAATTTCCCCTATCGCTCACTAATGACCATCTTGTACAGAGATACCATAACTTTGCGACTATAGTTGTAACAATCGCATATAGCACTAGATACAAATAATTCCGCAATGTGAAGCTTATAAAAACATTAAGTAAAATGTGTCCGCATTTAGTCAATCGTATATAGAAGTCTTATCATTATTATATCCCTTTATTTCAGGTATATTGCTGTGACGAGACCCATAGAATATGCGAAACACCGGAACAGTAAACGTGTCTGCATGACTATCGTATTCGCCTGGGCAATTTCAGCGGCTATCGGTCTACCAATAGTTCTGGGCCTCAACAACACACCTGATCGCATTCCGCAACTTTGTATATTCTATAACAGTTTTTTCATTCTTTGCTCTTCGTTAAGCAGTTTCTACATTCCCTGTACAATTATGGTTTTCCTATACTGGAATATTTTCAAGGTAATTTAGGCTAAATTAAATTACTTAATTTCTATTAATTTTTAAAACAACAACTTTACTTTCCCTACATACTATTTCTATTTGTATCTAAAACCCATTCCGTATTAATTTACGACTTTAACATTGTCTCTATTTGTCTTCTCTTTTACGTACGCTTATCTTCAAACAATAGGCACTGAATATGCGAGCCAAGAAGCAACGCGCCGCGCGAAGGCCGCACCTATCGGAGCTGACGGGTGGCAGCGTCATTGAGAATGTAGCACAAACACGCAGGCTGGCCGAAACGGCGCTGGGCAGCGACAGGCACGCGGTCCGCATAATTCCTGACGAGCCGGCGACGAACACAGCGTCGGGGTCAAACGAGGAAGAGGAAGATCCCGGCGGTGGTGCCATATCGCCGGACATCGACGATTGCCATGTCATCGTCAATGACAAATCCACAGAATTTATGCTAGCTACCGTAGTGGAGGAGACTGGCATGTAAGTGACAAAGCGCCAACAACAATAACACTTCAACAAACACTAGTTAATTACAAACACACGCAAAGAGCAGTAATAAGTAATGAAAGAGAGCTACAAAAAACCTTCAAAATGTAAAATAAATTACAATGTGATGGAGAGACAAAAGCGGGATAATTAGTAGTGGATAAATGAAAAGCTCGACTGCTGCCTGGGGCCAATCGTGATTACTAATAAATTCAAAAGATATTAAGAGTTTGTCACTTGCTTTTATACAATTTTCTGTGAGAAAAAAGTGTCTGAAAACTCAACAAAAAATATGTTTAAATTTGGAAATTTCCGCTGATGTGTTAAATATTGCATACAAAAATAACGAAAAACGAGATAATGATAATTTCGATTCGTAAAAGTAAAAGCTTTCCTCCAATTATCATTATTCACAGCTCCTTTTTAGTATTTAGTAGTGTTGTCTCAATTAGTTAGTTAGTTAATATTGAGAAAAAAATAAAGAACAAGAGCTAATGCTTTCTCAAATATCATCCAACATGTTGCCTTTGAGAAAACCTCACAAGAACTAGACCTCAAAACTCCCATACTTATTTACAAATCTCCCATTTGAATAAATTCCTGCAAGAATTCCTCAAGAATTCCTCCTAAATTCCTAAAAGAACTTAGATTATGATATCCACATGAAAACATGGTAGGTAATGTGAGCAGGAGTATATTTAGTCCAAAAAAATATCATACCGCTACAACCGTCCAACTACACAGCCATCTGAATACATCTTTTAAATATTTTTTGTTATTTTCCTGTTTTTCATTTTGCACACCGCTATCCATCTGGAAATACCACAAACACGCATCGTCGCCACATCCACAATGTCAACATAAATTAAAAATGCGCTGGAAAAATATTAAAATGAAAAATCGTAAAAATCCAATCGAAATCACATCACCATGCCGCGCTTCACGGTCATCCATGTGCGTTGACGCCGCGCAGTGTTGTGGCGCAGATCAGCAGTCCACCACAACTTGTGGTGGCCGATCCAAATGGTAATCATGATTCTGGTTATGCACCCTCAAACGTTGACGATGTCCTTGCAGGCGCAGCCGCCGATTCGTCGCCGCCGGATAGCCCGGAGCCTAGTGGGACATACAAACGGTCCAGTGTGAGCAGCAGTAGACGCAACACCGCTACTGGTGATTCACCTACCCAACGGGAGCCTTCCCTCAGGTAAGCCGCACCGCTGACCTCTCCACCACCGTACTTAGTATTATACGAGTACATCCACCTCATAACCCTGCCCGTAGTGGTTCCTCATGCGTTCAATCCGCAACTAATAGATTCTTGTCAAAGTATAAATTAATGGTATAAATTTTGTATGGTTTAAATTCAGTTGCGTTGAAAGTTTCTTAAATTTATTAGCGATTAAGTTTACATTTGCATTTTCTCCCAACTTACCTGTAATATTTTTTCGATGCCGGCCCTGTATATATGTACATATGTATAAACTCTACGCCGATAACTGCGTGCCGACAGTGTTGCGATGAAGCCGCTGTCCTTCGTTCGCTGCGGGGTTCAAGGAGCAATTACACTGGCACGCAACGACTCCACACTTTCAGCAGCGTCGAAGAGCTCATCGCGTAAAGACAAGAAAAACTCGCAGGCCTCGAGGTAAGTCGTAGTCACTTAGTTCAGTGAAGTGACGATAAAACATACGCTGGTAAAACACGGTAGCCAGCGGTTGTACCCAACACACCATGGCTGCAGCTTTTGCTTGCCGTTGAGTATTTGGCATAGCCGCTGGTTACCAGGCACTGCTCAATTAAAAGTTTAGCAAGCACACAAGCTGCTTTAACACCTTTTTTCATAAATCTCCAATTTACCGCATTTCTCTTCCATACACACCGCGGGTATCTCGGATCTCGCCGTTCCTCACTTTTCCATTTTGCTCTGTATAATATTTAATTCGCAACACTCTTTCTTTTTCCCTCATTTCAATTCGCTGCGGTCTTGTCGCCTACGGCTGCTTCCCACTGTCAACTGACATTTTCGACTGCTTCTGTCCGCACTCGGTGGTCGCTACTCACCATTTGTTCGGGTACGGAAACTGGCTCGTGGTAGGTTCACAATATACAAAGTACACAAAGCTTCGAAGAAAAAGCGCGAAAAGTCGTCGGCGAAGAAAGAGCAGAAAGCCACCAAAACTCTCGCCATCGTTCTGGGTAAGTACCGATAAGTTGAGCAGGAGTACAAATAAGTCAAAACTAGGAAAGCAAACTTTTAACGGACTACTGTCAAAAGTTGACGTTCAGCTAAACTTAGCTATGCGGCTGTATTGTTGTAGTCTGCGTAATTAATTGAATGTTGCTATGGAAGGGATCGCAAGGAATGTTTAAAATCAAACAGTTACATCCCAAATAGTTACAATGAAATAACTGTTATTGTCCGTTTCATAAGTTGGTCAGGATTAATGTTGGGCTTTATTCAAAAATATTTTAATTCATTTTTAGAATGGCTTGCAGTTGTTTTGCAGTTTGGCAACTCGTGACCTAAGGGATGGATTTTATTCTCCTCTAGTTGCCGAGATTCATCATTGTCAACCAATTGTGACTTATTTATTACATAAATTCTGACACTACCTTCATTAACCAGGTTCAGACAAATACATTCATTCTTTAACCCGTTATATGTAGGTATATATGTTAACAATAAATTTGAAGATTAGTCGGAACCATAAACACTCCATTTGTACTACTTCGGAAGACAATGTTTTCTTATTTTAATTTCTTATTCTAATTGAGAAAATTGTAACCCTTTAAGCCGTACCAACTTCAGCCATTTTTTTGTTCGCTTAGTCTATTGCCTGAGAGGATCGACAACGAGGTTTAATTAAGATTAAACTTTTTTTTTTAAACAGCTACGCTTTTTTAAAACTTCGATCCCTTCCAGTAAGGTGCTCGACGAACTGAAATAACAATCTTCGGTTGCTCCGAAACAATAATAGCCATCTCAAAAAACCAAATATATCACATATATGAATCTTATTTTTATAGATCATTTTGTATGGCAATCTTTTCTGAAAATGTTTTTTCAAATTTTGTAAAACAAAATCGTTTTCCATACAAGGTCATGATTTTATTTGTTAAATTTCTTGTGGAGAAAAATTAGGTTGTATTATATAAAGACACAAGTCATGCTGATCAATTATATACATGTACATATATTATATATTTTATAGGGCCTCCGACGTTTCCTTCAGGGTGTTACAAACTTTGTGGAAAACTAAAGGGGTTACATGGGGTCTCTCAAGTGTACTGTATTTCAAAAATATTTTCTCATATAAAAAATGAAATATTTTATTAGAATTTTTTATTGTTGCAAATATACACTACTAACAAAGAAATTCTGAATATGAAAAAAAGGGATATTTTAAACTCGGTCATTGCGACGCCATTTCCGGTGACCTCCGAAAAAAGTTTCGTCCGTGTTGGCAGGATAACTCAGGACAACAGGTTCATTCAAAGTGAAAATCAAAAACTAGGACAAAACTCGCAATATTATTTTTTATTCAAATAGTTGTAATCGAAAAAAAATCCGTCGTCCAAATCTCAAATGAAATGAGTTTATCTTAAAGACTTATCTTAAAGGCGTTTAAAAACGAGGACTTAGCCAGCTAGCCTCAAGCGCACAAGTTCTCACGGCTGTATCTCCAAAACTATCACTCGGATTACTTGAAAATTTACGACTATATTCCAGAGGTGTTGTTAAATTTAATAGAATAATAAAAACGCGATTTTTTTAAGCTTGTAAACCCATGTGAGCATTTAATATACCCTGTTCTGGAGGTGCGTTAAGGCATAAACCATCTCTATACGTTATTTAGGAACCTTCAACGGTCTTAAATAGAAAAGATTGAATAAATAAATATTTCGTGAAAAAAGATATGAGAATAGTTTAATTTTCAACACAAATTATACAAAGGTACTTCGTTAATCCGTTTCTCACAGGTGTCTTCCTGGTTTGCTGGTTGCCATTCTTCACGTGCAATCTGTCGGATGCGATCTGTGCTATGTTGAGCATAAGCTGGCGGCCAGGCGTCACCCTCTTCATATTCACCACCTGGCTGGGCTACATCAACAGCTTCGTCAATCCCATCATCTACACGATCTTCAACCCAGAGTTCCGCAAAGCATTCAAAAAGATCATGCACTTAGGGTGATTAACATCAACGCTGATCGGACCAGTCTGCGCTAAAGTAAACGCGAACGTGCAAAGTAATGGGCATAAATACATTTTTATAATGATAACGGTGGAATTGGGCAAAATATTTCTTCATTATAATAGCAATAACAAAAACTATAAATATACTAACACACGCATTACCCGTCGCAGCGACAAGGGTCACAAACATTACTTCGCGATTTTATAGACGACAGCCCGCACATGCAACAAACTCAACAATAACAACCACTTATAAATATAGACACATATATGTACTAATTACAATAACTTTAAAATAGCTCTAGGTAGAAGTTAAGATATCCACAATAAATTGAAGACTCTTGGTCGATCTTAATTGCCGCCTACATTTTCTAAATACTATTTACCATATACATATTTATGTATTGAATAATTGAATAAATATGTAGGTGGAAAATATTCATATGTACAGCAGAGAACTTAGTAAGTGTAGTGCCTCTAGCTGTGCAAAGAGTTAGCATTGAGTAATGGTGGATCAGGTCCACATTTGCATGTACATAAAAAAATCTCACATCTAGGCTTAACGGAAACAGTTTGTAAATATCTATACCTAAATGCTAACAAATTGGCATTATACTCCATTTTGACCCGTGTACTATATGGTGGACGAATGTGTAAGTATAATAGGACGAGGGAGAGCAAAAGGGCCGCTTTCGACAACGGTGCTACAGTTTCTACTCAAAGCAAACGCAACAGCTCTCAAGCCGTTTAATCAAGTCTCACCGAAAACTCTTTTCTCTACTTTCTGCTAAATTTGTGAAGAGAGTTGCTTATGCATTCCCATCTTAAGTAATAATCAATTAGGCTGTACTCTGCAGAGAATCGAATACTTTGTTTGTAGGCAATTTGTTTACAATTTGCTAATTGACTCCATTAAGACGCTTTTAAGCCAATATAAACACATAAGCTGTTTTCGATTCGTGGATACTCTGATGAGTAACTCGCAGTAACCTTTTTGTTTTTTTTTTTTTTGTCAAAGAAATTTACATGTAAGCGAATATCTGAATACCTCAATGAAGTAGTATAATCGATCAATCCCAGTAAGTTTCCTTTGACATATTTCAGACCACTTTTTCTTATCTAAAAGGATTATTAAAAGGAATTAAAAATTTTGTGAATTGATTTTCAAAACAGTAGACGTGAAATAGAATATAGTTATTTATAGAAAACTTAAGCCTCGATTACTTCCAACAAATAAAGAAGCGCGGCACCAATTTGAACAATCGGTATAGTTTCTTCGATCCAACGCCAAAGAGTAGAAACTTATTCAGGTTTTGTTCCTTATTTAGCATTCTCGCAGCTCTTTAGCTCAGTACTATCCACCGTATTGAACACACATATGTATATACATACGAGTACATTACCAAACATGAGGGAAATTAAAGTGCTTCCCCAGCATAGCGCTATAATGTTAAGAAGATAAATTGTTTTCCAAAAGAGTAATACACCAAGAGGGCATAAGCATAGAACTTCTTAAGTAATTAGGTAATCAAATTTCTCACGCTAGGAAAAGTAAGCAAAAAAAACTATGAATATCATCGCGCCAGATTTGTAATCTCATTTCTCAATTTTTATTCAAGTCGAACATATCACCAAACCAACTTACAATGAATTTCGTATAAACTCGAACACAAACCAACGATAGTTTCACATATCTAGAGAACGGGCGAACCCTTGAACAATAAAAAACAATTATCAAAACGAAATTTTGTAAAATCGGTTTACCAAATGGCTTGTAAAATTTATATATAAATAAATACTCGTAGGCTATAATTCTTACTTGAACATGAAAGAGCTGGTTGCCGTAACAGCACTAGTTAAGTCTAATAAATTTACTCAAATGCTGCAAAAAGAAGCCCCAGCAAAGCGTCCCGTATCTCAAATTAGAGAAAATATTGCCTCATCCCTCTGAAAGACATTGCCAGATTTTCAAAAAACTACCGAAAATCGGTTTCTCTTTCGGAGATTAAAAATGGCAAAGCAAAATGAGCCCCACTGCGAGACTTTTGCGGCGATTTCTTTGAGCGGTTCCGGCAAAAATAGCGTGAGTAAATAAAAAAAAAATATTAAAACTTGAAATGAAAGCAATTAGAAGAACTTAGTTACTTTATAAGACCTACTAAGTGCAAAATACGTTATAGCATACCAGATGGCATGGAATTAGTTGAGTTAATTATGGAACAATTAATCTAAATGAATAATCAAAACTCATAAGAAATATCAGGGTACTCAAGTAAATCAAATAAATAATCATAATTAACAAATTAACAGTTATAGCAAATGAAAGTGTATATAGGCATAATTAATGTAGCGTCTAAAGCATGTATGTACAGTTAGCTGTTAAGTATACTTATATGTATGTAGCTAATTCCAATGCCGCTGCAGAGGCAAACATAGAATTTGTTCAGTTTTAATGACCGTCCTCTCAATTGTTTCTATGCGACAAATAATTAATTATACACAAAACAACAAATACATAGGTACATATATATATATGTATATAAATAAATATATATCTCTTACAATTAAATACTAAATGAAGATGTTTAACTTTAAGCAAGCAAGAAATCTCGTTTGAGAAAATGTAAAAACAAAATAAAACAATAAATGCAAAGAAAATAGCGAGCGCGAATAGCGGTAAATGCTCAACACTTTTGTACTTTCCTATAATTTTGTTACGCGATTGCATAAATCAATTTACGGTATTTGTGTTTAGACTTAAACTATTCATACTTACAGAGTTGTTAGCGTACAGAGTTGTTAGCGCGTATGCAAATGTAAGCATTTAAGTGACAAATAGTTAAGCGATGGACTCTTAATAGACTTAAGGCCCCCAATCAGTTACGTACCGACAAACTTGACACCCACACACATACAAACATTGTGCATGTGCATGTAAATACAGCTGGTACAAGTGCACATGCACTTATTCATACATATTTACATATATATATATATATATATAAGTTAGTATATAGTTACATATGTACATAGATAAATGAAGTGTGCATTGCGGTTAGTAGCATAAATTCTTCCAAAAGAGACGCTTATTAAATTTAAATATATTAATTGATTGTAATTAATTACTAAATTATGTATGTTCAACACAAATATAACTCATTTAACGTGTGTATGTAGTTGAGTTGTGTTGGTGAGCGACTTTTCAAATATTTAAGTGTGGTTTTACTAGAATTACACACCCACACACAAATAAATAATACAAACAAATACACATATGTAAAATGAAAAATTGTTTTCGCCACACATACACACACATATAGCATAAAAAACAAGACTTCATAACACACACATATACACTCGCAGCCATGCTCGTTTTTTCCTCATTCACTTAACAAATATAACGGTATGGCACGCTATTTTTGTCTGGCTTACACACACATACACATACACACATATATATGTATGTATATTCATCATAGTAGAATCGTTGAAAAATCAAGTATGTATTAAGCAAAATGAGGGCAGGGTATTAGTAATATTATTGTTTATAAAGAAATTTGAATTTGTTAAAAAACAAAAACAAAAACACAAACAACATGTTACAATGCTATGTTAAGGATTTTGAAATATATATATTGAGTAACGGTGGCATGAAATATTGTAATCCCATTAATAAATTAAAATTCACTATCAAAAGAGGAGTCACATAAGTATCAATAAAAGCCAAATAAAATATTATTTAAATTTCGTCTTAAAATTATTGAATAATTTACAACCATCGATTATGTTACAAAAGTAAGTATACTTACTCACAGCATGCAGTTAAAAGTTGATTCAGATAGAAAAGGTGAATTCCGGAGCGATAAAGTTAAGCTCAAGTTCACACGAATTCATGTTTCCAGCTCCGAAGGTTCCATATAGCACAAAAGTTATTTCTATAGCTTTGTGCTAACTGGAAGAATATGAGTTAGATAGAATAACAGGTAATGAAAAGATAAGACATGGCACCTAAGCTTTAATACATTTCGCAAAAATACCATTCAAGAACTCGATTCTGATTGGTCAGTTTGTAAGGCAGCTATAGCTATAGTGGTCCAATCGGAGATTGTCGTTGAATGGAGTAATAATGTGTTCCAAATTAGGTGAAGACATCTTGTCAAATAAAAAAGTTTCCCATATGAATTCGATCGATCAGTTTGTATGGGAGCTAACTGTTATAGTGGTCCGAAATCGGCGGCTTCGACAAATGAGCAACTTCTTGGGAATTCTGATAGATATCTCAAAAAACACACACACACAACCTTCAAACAAACTTAATGTACACTAATCAGGGTGTAACTAAAAATTAGACGAAATTAAAGTTGTCACACCTTAAAATTGTATTTAGATATAGAAACATAGTTCGGAAGAGCAATATTCGGTAAACAAGCTTGGCATATCTTTACAACTTCGGTGCATAAAAGTTTGGTGTGCTCTATCAGCAGAGAGAATCATTGGCTCATATTTTTTCAAACTCATTTGACGACTACTTTACGTTATGTATTTTCAGACCTAAAACGAGAAATGCGTGAGTGCGTAGAGCTAGACAAGCTGGCCGACAGGGGTAATGCTCGATTATTCTACAAAAAGATGTAAGGATAAACGGTTTCAAAACAAGAGCATACTCTAGTAGAACCCTCAGAGGTGATTGGAGAAAACACTTCTCCAGCCTGCTAAATAGCAGTGAAAGCATACAGCATAACTCCGCAAGATGGTGAACCCGATTCCTCTATCGATGACGATGGAGCAGATGTTTCTTAACCCAACCATGAAGAAGTTCGGATAGCAATTACCCGTCTGAAAATCAACAAAGCGGCTCGGGCCGATGAATTGCCGGCCGAGATATTCAAATGCGACGACGAAGAACTGATAAAAAGCATGCAGACTTTTTTTTGTACAAAAAGTCGGACGAAAGCGCCCCCGACAATAGGAATTTTAGTGTGCTTTGCCCAATCCACAAAAGGAAGACTCCACAATCTGCCCCAACTACCATGTATAAGCCTCCTCAACTTCGCATATAAAGTTCTATCGACCGTATTGTGTGAAATATTAAAGACCACCGTCAGCAAACTGAGCAAATTTTTAGCCTGCGCCAAATCTTGGAACACACCCGTGAAAAGAGGATCGACACACTCCACCTCTACGTCGATTTCAAAGCTGCTTTTGAGAGCACGAAAAGGAGGTGCCTTTATGTCGCTATGTCTTAATTTGGTATGCCTGCAAAACTGCAAAACTGACATTGAGCCATAC